TTTTAAAATGGGACGAATATTAGTGCCTACCTCACAGGGCTTTGTGAAATAAAAGTGAAATGAAATAGTTAACTTAAAACACCTAGCATAGTACCTTGATTATAGTAAGCCATCAATAAGTTTAAGCTGATATTACTATTATTAGTTTCATTATTTCATAAAATAAGAATCATGGCTTTGATTTATTGAACAGTAAAGACAAATGCAATTGAAACTTATGTTTTGAAATGTCATCATTGCAAATGACATCACTGTTCCTGCATTATCCATTTGCTTAAATTTTTTCTAGTTTATATATATCATTAGGAAGCATATTTAGCACACTATCATAAATCCTATAGAGGAGGCCAAAGTGTTCTTGTATTTCTATTTATTTTTGTGTGGTGAATTGGTAAAAATCTTAAAGGAAATTACAATGTGTGTGGTAACCTTCCTAGTATACTGTTATCAAAATTACAAAATTTAATCTGAGGGAAAAGTGATAGTAGCACAAAATAAAATATATAAAATCCCATTTTATGAGCAGTCAAATATTCAGCTTACAATTAATTATTTAGAAACTGATCGCATTTTTGAGAAACTAAGCTCCTTTGTTTTTCTTCATCCTTTATTTCTTCTGCCTACATTTTTTTCTATTTTTCAACTCATTTATATAACTTATTCTAGGAAAGAAAGGGCGAAAAGAGAAGGAAAGAAACAGATCCGTTAATATAGTTATTTCTTAGCAGATCTGAAAGAAGTGGAGAAAAGTTTAAATTACAACGAGAGACCCATTATGGGTTGCCTGCTATACCAATGTGCAGCAGCTACAATTCCTTTGTCTTCCCCTGGTCTGGATAACTGAGAATTAGCTGATATGTTTTGAAAGAGGTAGAACACTGCATCTCTAAAACTATTCATCACCAATGACTGAATGATCCTGCAACAATTGAAACCTTGTCTACAAAAATGCACTGAAGTTTTTAAATTAGATAAAGATTTCCAATATCATTAAAGCTAATTTTTCTTTAGCCACATCAGATTATTAGCTATTTTTATTAATTGCTGCTGCCTTTGGTATGCAATTCCCTATGCCACAGAAATATAAATCTAGGTAACGCAAAAGAAAAAGAAAAAAATTTATCCACATCAAGAGAAAAATATCTACACAGAAATTAAAAAACCACTTAATTGAAAATATAAGGCATCATGTACTTAAATAAATACATCAAGAGAGAAAGAAGACAGCAGCGGAACCTAAACCTAAAACTGAATACACAAATGGACAATGGCCAGATCATACATAAAAATACAAGTCTAACTCCCAACTTAGAGCAACTTGCCTAGGAAACCATATCTACAATAAATAGCCCAGGAAGCCAGTCTGCTCTAAGTTAGACTTGCAGGAAGTCAGATTGTCACCTCCAGCAGCAATCCAGGAAGCTAAACAGTAACATCTATAACAACTGAACCAGAGTAGTCAAGACTTGATTAACTAACAGCGTCCCTAAATTTTGTCACCACTTTCAATTTAGGACAAACCAGAGAAAGACAAATATGCACCTCTAACTAACCACACTGAATGCCCCACTTCTAATTACCCCCTCTTACAGCTTCCCCACACCAACAGCCTCCAACCAAGGCATACTTAAAGCCTTCCCTTGTCTCCACTAAAAAGCTTTCCCATTCTTTTGTCTACCTTTGAGTCTCCGCCAAAATGCAAGTGGCAATGGCTAACTCCCTTGCTATATAGCAAGCTCTGAATAAAGAGCCTTTACATTTCTCATTTGGTGGGTCTTCATTTATTTCCACACTATTGAGCATCTACTACATATCCATCAATGGGGAACACACTTAGATATCCTAAGAAGTTAATTTTCACAATATTTTGAGAGGCTTTTTTTTATCCCCATTTCACAGATGTACAGAACTGAAGTCTGTAGAAGTTAGTTTCTTGTGCTTTCCTATTTACACCATGCTAGAGTCATAGTTTTTGGTATATTATTGTGATAAAGGTATTTAAGATAATATTAAAACAATAACAACAATAATAACAACAACAGCTATAAATTAGTTGGGTATTTTTTTAGCATTATTTGCATATTTATCTATCAATTTGCTGGATAAATGTCAACATTGTATTTTCAATTGACTCATTGCTTTAAAGTTATAATGAATCAAAATACATACAGAGTTTGAAATAATCAAAAGCACCATAGAAGAAATGACTTCTCTATCTTAATTTGCTATAAAAACACATCAGCAGAAATAATTTGCTTGTCAAGTAGTGACTGAAGCAACAGGTTTTTTTTTTATAGAAAATGTGTAGAAAACCTTATAAGAGGGGTACCTGGGTGGCTCAGTCGGTTGAGTGTCTGCCCTCCACAGGGGTCATGATCCCAGGGTCCTGGGATGGAGCCCTGAGTCGGGCTCCTTGCTCAGTGGAGAGCCTGATTCTCCCTCTCCCTCTGCCCCTCCCCAACTCCTCCCCCCCACCCCGCTCGTGCTCACGTGTGTGTGCATGCATGCACACGCACGCGTGCGCGCGCGCTCTCTCTCTCTCTCAGATAAATAAAATCTTTAAAAAAAGGAAAGAAAAACCTTATTAAGAAAATGTAGTTATTTATGATATTGACAAGGAAACAAGTAAAAATGAAATTTGAGTGATTCTGAAAAAGAAGTATTTGCCTGGCACTTTTTAAAAGGTAATTATTTAACAATCACATAAGTTAACTACCATTGTATTTATTTTACAAATAGAAACAAGTTGTAAAGACATTTAAGAACATTACCTAAAACTTACCAGAACATTACCTAAAACTTATCAGTTAGTGAGCAAAACAGTCTATATTCAGAAACTGAAATAATTTTTGGTTTCAAAGTTCAACAGATATGCTTAAGAAACATCTGATTAAAATTCACTTTAACATATTCCCTTACCACATAAGTTGGCACAGAACCTAATTGCACTGAAGTAATTTATTTTCTAACTATAAAATAATATAACTTAGCTTTATAGGAAAAACAGCATTTGCACAAATTAGAAATTACTATGGAAGCTACATAAAACTAGATTTTTTTAAAAAAATAGGAAAATATAGATGATTAATAAGGCCTTTTAATGCCTGAAAATAAAATGATATTTAAGAACAATTCCCTTAACAGAGACCTGAAAAACTAAAAAGAAATCTACAGATGACATTGTTTAAATAATAATGTGGAATAAGAAATGATGACTAAAGGCCAAATAATTCCTCAGGTGGTTTCTACTTTGTCTCACTAATTTCATTTAGTTAATTCAAACCTTTATTAAGAATTCCTTGCTTTGAGCCTAAATTAAAATGAACAGAGTCGGAATCTGAGAAGCCTTATAAAAGAAAAAGATTCAAGTTGTTGGCCTTTATAGCATCTCATGTTAAGGAAGGAAAACTATTTTCTGAAATGTCTCTGTTTTAATAAAAGTAATGAATTTGTCACATAAAATTATAAATACCAAAGTTATAATCTGGCCACTTTGCTAAGCATATAGAGGGGGAAAAAACTACTTCCTTTATATACCTGAAAGACTTTGCTCCTTCCCATAAACAGGACTGATGCTCAGTGACTATCAATTGATTTAACTTTTAAAACTTTTAGTTATCTTCTCCCCAGTGGGATGCAATGACATATTTTTCATATAAAAGAAAAACTGAATTTTGTTTTGTTTTGTTTTGTTTTTGCCTCTTTCTACACATCAGCCCTTCTGAATGGGGCAAATGAGCAAAAGGTATGGAGTAGGTTGGAGAATGCATTTTATAAGAAAATCACCTGGTGGATTTTTCCAAGCAATACGTACCTCAAACATTGGGGTAGATGTCAAGAAAAACAATGGTATCATGAAAATCACATGTTCTAATAACTTTGAAGCAATAGTATGTGGGCAGACTGCCTGCATTAGAATCCTACCCTTCCACTGGCTAACTGTATGACACCAGTCAAATCCCTTAACTGTGACAAGTTTCTTCATTTGTAAGACAGACAGAATGATAATAGAACCCAAGGAGATTGTTGTAAGGATTCGGAGACTTAGTATATGTGTGTTGGTACAGAGTAAACACCAGGTGAGTGTTACTTTATTATTGTGAATCTGAAACAAAGCAAATAATTTCATTTTAGAAAATGAGCAGAAAGTTGGAAGTTTTCTTATGCTTATGGTCAAGACAAATAGGATGATGTTTGTTCCACTGGCTATGATAATGTTCTTAAATGTAGGAGCCTGGACACTTCTTGAAGGTGGAGTGATGTCAAAATTCTTTGAATCTCAAGTATCTGATAATGTCTCATGTGCAGAGGTACTCAATACATGTTGAGTGAATAATGAATGAATTTTTAAAAATAAGTGAATGAACACATGGGTTGACAGTTTTCAGAAAAAGAATGGTATTCATATAGAATGGGCTTAATATTTAAAATAAATGCAAATTCTTTTCAGAAGTTTCTTTTGAAACTTAAATCTACATCTTAGAAATGATTTGGTAGTCTTCCCAAAATGATTGATATGGTCCAAAGTATTGCAGTTTTCTGTTTCTACTTCAAACTGACAGAAAATATTTAGTCTCTTGAGGGAAAGAGAGTTGTACTTGTATCACCTCTTGACTACAGTCATATCATCTTTGAAGAGAGCCTACCTTGTTAAGAATTTTCATTTATTTATAAACACATAATTTTATTAGCTTGAATGGGTTGATTTTTTATTAGTTGAATTGGTAGATTTTTTAAAACTAAGGTTTAACTAACATAAGACAAAGGAAACATTTCTCCTCTTGAAATCTTAAAGATATTTCAGAGTACATATTGTATTACCCATGCTTGTGTTTTGAAATTAACTCTACATGGACTTTCATTGGTATAGTATGTTTTTAATCTAGGAATCCTGCTGAAATGAGCTGCATAATTATTTTGTAATTCTAGGGCTTACAATATATTTGCATGATTTCATTTCTCAGAAATAATATGGGAGGTGGTAGATGATTATTTCTTACCCTATTTGAGTCAATTCTCGATCTGGAAGTATAGATGGGTGGGGGGATGTTGAAAGCCTGAGGGACCAGGTATTCCTCAGCATCCATCATATCCTCCAAATCCTCTTCATCCAAGAGATTCTGAAAGAACTTGCTGTCATTTGGACTGGGAAGCTTCATGCGATCATCACCCTAAAAGTTTGCCCACCAGACAAACAAAAAATGAGTCTTCTTTTCACCTTAAACATGTGGACTTTGCAGCAAATTTACATAATACCAAAGCAAGTGGTTGAAAATTCATGTACTCGTTTAAAAAAATAATTCTTTAACACAATTACCAGTCATGAAGGAGCCTGTAACATACTTAGATATGACAGGGTAAGATAAATACATTTAACAGAATGTGATAAATGCCATCAGAGATGAATAAAGCAGAATGCTCTGGCTGCTTTGAAGGAGGCATAATCTATTTCATATCTGAGAATAACGGCAGGTTTCATTGCCAGGATGTTTGAGCTGTGACTTTAAGAATAAATAATAAAAGACAATTGACTTATCAATCTTTATCTTATTTAGTTGGTTTGATATTGTAGAGTTCTCAGGACATACAGGCTGCTCCATGATTTGTCCTAAGGCGTAACACTGTAGCTTCCAAAATCACAGCACAAGTAGCAAATAATATAAACGAAGGTGGGAGAGACACCAAAACCCTGCTCTTTTTCACTTCATCCATTTCTTAAATATGATTTTTTTAATTTTTCAAAATTATGTGATATTTTTGTAAACAAGTTGTTTATGCAAATTAATTTGGCAAAAAGATAACTGGAAACTATTCTAAAACCTGGCTTTTATCTTCATGTCCGATTATTGATAGGAAGATAAATGCTACCTTGTTTTATTGAGGAAAATTAATTCAGTGCAACCCAAGGTCCATTTGTTTATGATTTAGATAAAAATAATCATAGATAAATATACTACAATTTTTAAATTTTCCAATCCATTTTTTCTAGTGTTTAATATAAAATGTCTTTTGGGCTATCATTTGATTCATACGTACATCAATTCACTTGAATCTGAGTTATTGCTTGCATACTGTATATCTCCCCAAACAAAACATATTTATAAATATTTTTTAGGAAATTAAATATCAATACATTGAAACTATTAATTCACTGTCTTCAACCATGGACAAGATTAAAACAAAAATCCATCTTCCGGGCGCCTGGGTGGCTCAGATGGTTAAGTGTCTGCCTTTGGCTCAGGTCAGGATCTCCCAGTCCTCGGATAGAGCCTCAAGTCGGGGCTCCCTGCTCAGCGGTGAGTCTGCTTCTCCTTCTTCCTCTGCCCCTCTCCCCTGCTCATGTGCTCTCTCTCCCTCTCTCAAATGAATAAAAATTAAAAAAAATTCTTAAAAATCCACCTTCCTTTTATTCTGAAAAGGGAAGATTATAATGGACATGACAACGCATGTTAATAAAAAGCAGAGTGCTAGAAGGCTTGTCTGGGGAAAAGGACTTTTTATGTATATGGATAATCATAATTATCTTGCTGTTCAGTACCAGAGGCACTTGAATACTAAGGGAAGAATCTTAGAAGTGTTTGTGATGTCGAGGGAAAGGCTCTTTCCATAAGTCATTTCACATGATATTCTGCTTATCGACTTATGAGTGGTGATTTCCACAGTTCCAAAGACCAGATATGTACCAACCTGAATAACTAGATATCTTTGAGGGTCTCGAGCCATCCTCGAAAATTCAGCAGCCAGTTCCTTAAATTTAGGCCTACTGTCAGCATCAATCATCCAACCTAGAAATTCACACACAATACAAGAGTTACTCTATCCATAATTAAGAAGAAGTAGGATGTAAATTTTATGAAAACATAGGCTAAGTTTGAAAAATATTCTTTTAATAACAATGATCTAAAAACAAAAACAAAAAAACAAAGCTAAAGAAAGAAACAATCCAATTAGGTGAGGTTCTATCTCAATCAGTTTGTTGATATTCAGAAGTAAATGTAATACATGATAGAATAACAGAAACTTTTCATTTTGTTGATCTAATTTAAAATTAATTTTTCTTCTTAGAAAACATAACCTAGGCTAACTATGGGAACTTACAGAATCTCTGATTTTTTTCTTTTTTTAAGTATGGAGAGAATGCCTTTTTTTTTTTTTTTAACTTTTCTTTGATGGGGATATAATTTATTATTTTATGTCAGGAGTGACACGAAGCTTTGGTTACAATGCAGTACACCAGCCCAGAGGGGGAAAGGGAAGAGAAAGCAACTTTCTCATGCTACTTTTTTCCTGCTGGGGAAAAAACCAATCCAAAATGATTGGTAATGTTTGTTCAGCAACAGCCATTAGCTTATCTAAGTACTAGCCTTTGCAGCATAAAAATACTATCAGCAATTTTCAAGGTATGTATTATTATTTAGCTGGGAGTCTAGATAAAGTGGGTCTTATCTCCCCAGGCTCTGTTTAGCTGATGAGATCACAAGAATAAAAGCACAAAGCTTTGCTTGATTTTCTGGCCAAATAACCTTCTTCTTAGGTATTCAAACTCATAAAAGCAAGGTAAAACACCCTATTAGGCAAAATATTTTCCTGATTTTTCATTGTTTCATCAGAGTATCTAAATGAAGTATCTAAATCACCTCTGAAGCTAGTTATGAGATCAAATTATATAACGCATGCATTTTTTTTTTTTTAAAGTTCCTTCCATAGATGACCGCTGAAAGATGTTTGATCCAATAAAGCTATAAGGTTTATTTCTTTTTTCTGGGGGTTCAATTTTTAGTCTTGTCCTGGGAAGTCTTTGGGTGTCATATCATGTATCATTAATATCACCTGAATTTTTTCTCTCTTAACAAAGCTCAACTATATGCATCCACTTAGAAAAAAAAATGCTGTTGATACCAGGATGCTAATGAGAAAATAGGTGTTTCTGGAACTACTGTAATCAAAAAAGGTTAACTTTGCTGGGAGGTATCACTTTCTTTCGAACTAAATATTGAGTAAATAGAACTATGCTTAGAGAAAAGGGCATGCTGACCTGAACTTGGAAAGCACATTTTTTATTTCTTCCCTCACTGTCAGAATGTATCACACATGTCATGAATATAAATCTGAGTAGACCTGGGTCCAAAGTCTCTTATTAATAAGATGCTTATTCACCTTCACCAGTTTGTTTCTTTGCTAACCCTGTGTAAATCAAAAGGGGAAAACCCCAGATTACACAAGAAAGATTGCTGAATGCTAATCCCATTTAAATTAAGTAGGAAACTCCAGAGACTTCCCTAATTCTGTTTAAATTAAGAGCCTAGGCTGCCAAAACACATTTATAATACATATGTGTCTGGGGCACAGAAAGGAGAAAGAAAAGTAAGAGTGTTTGATGTAAACAAATGATCAAATTGAAAAAAAAAGTAAATATTTGTAATCTTTTTATTTCACTGTAGATTCATGTCTTCTCACTTCCCATTCTGCCCTGCTAATTTCCTGTTGACTAAAACTGGTAAACCTATTTCCATTTAATTCATTTTTTTAAACTATCAGTTTCAAGCTTTCTTTCTTTATATTTAGATCATTTGTTTAGACTGCTATTTTCCTGTAAAGATTACTAGCATTATTGTGACTAATTACATCTCTTTATGAAAGACAATTTGTTATCATGGAAATGATAAGAATCAAAGTGAAATGAATCAGAAGAGTAAGAGTCATATAATTTTGACTTTTTAACCTGGAAGCATGCATACCGATGCATACTGCTTCCTATTAACAATAAGCCAAAAACACAGGTGTTTACATGATTTTTCATAATTTTTGAACTTTCATATTTTTCATATACAAAAACATTATGCAGGTAGATTAATCCATACTATTATTTTACTAAGCATGATGATGGTGATGATAAAATTATTTTGCAATCTTACATTTGACCATGACCATGTAAACATCAATAGTGCAGATTGGAGGCTGGGGCAAACGTTCTCCTTTCTCTAATAAATCCGGGATTTCTCGGGTTGGAATTCCATCATAGGGTTTTCCTCCAAAGGTCATCAGTTCCCATATAGTGACTCCTAAATTGGAGATCAAATATTTACATAAGCGTCCTAACAACATAGTATGAAGAAACCAGCAGTATGCCAATAACAAAAGAAAGCTCCCTGGAAGGCAGTCAAAAATAGTCTAAAGAGTCTGGGTGGCACAGTCGGTTAAGCATCCGGACTCTTGGTTTTGGCTCAGGTTGTCATCTCAGGATCATGGGATCGAGCCATGCCTCAAGCTCTGTGCTCAGTGCCCCCCACCCCACCCCCGCTCTAAAATACATAAGTAAATCTTAAAAAAAAAAATAGTCTAAAGAAAGGCTCTTCAGATTTCTATATCTATTAGGAGAAGCCCAATGACAAAATCTTTTTGGGAAATTCAATTATTTTATTATTGTCTTGAAATTTTTAATGAGTAACAGAGACAATTCAGAGTGGATGTCAAAATACAGAGTCTGTTCCCCATTTCTACTTTTAAGTAATGTTAATGTTTGCTGATCCAAGTTAATTTTCACTACACCACATTAGAGCCTATCAAACAATTCATTATATACATGTGTATTCAGTATCAAGTAAATATGATTGCAGATAAAATCTGATGTTGACTAATTTTGAGATTAACATTTTTGCTATTAAATGTCCTGTAGGACATTTATTTATTTATTTATTGTTCCTAAACTAAAATTGGCTGTTTTTTTCCTGTCAAATGATCAGAAAAGTTGTTACCAAACCAAAGGTTATGGTAGACAACTGAGATTTTAATATATTACATTTTAGTGAACGAAGAAATAATAAAAAAGGCAGATAAATGATACAATTTAGAGTTTTGTTTTTTTTTTTTTAGTGGACAAGCAAAGAGTTAATTCCTTTAGGAAACAAGGCTTGTAAGTAGGTATTCCCAACACAATAAAATAAGTTGGCTTAAGATATTTTACATGAGCTTAATATATTTACTTTTGCCTTAAAACCCTTAATTCACAAGGAAGATTTATTTACCATAGCTCCAAACATCACTCTGATGGGTGAATTTTCTGTAGTGTATACACTCCAGAGCCATCCATTTAATTGGCATCTGAGAAATAAAAAGAGAAATAAAAAGTGAAAGCTTTATAGTTATATAAAAAGTCATTCCTATATTCTTTTCCCAAAATATGAGTCTCTGGGTTTGCCTCAATTGTATTTTTTGACTGTGTTTTTTTTGTGTGTGTGTATAGAAAATACAAACATAATAATAATAATAAACATGTTATTTCTCAATACAGAGAACAATGAATTGACATTTATAAAATTCTTAAAGTGAATTAACCTAAAGGTATATTTATTTTTAAAAGCTTCATAAACAATGAAAAGTAAAATAGTATCACTTTCTATAGTTCTTAATTAATGTTCAGCAATTAATTCAGTTACTAGCTATTATTATGACTCACAACATCAATTCTAAACATTTAAGACATGTGCTTCTAAAAATATGATCTACTACATTTCCCCCACCCTCCCATCCCAAAATGAGATTCCTTACATTTTCACTTATTCTTTTTTACCCTCAGAAAATTTCTGGCCACCAGTAAGATGGTCTCTTTCTACACTTGCCCCCACCTTTTTCCTCTCATATAATTTGGTCACTTGAAACACCTAAAATAACGAATTCCAAAGTTAGGCTTGCTTTGTTCCCCAGCCACAAATGATCTCCCTTGTCTTGGTTAGTCAGTATTGAAAACATGTACCATTTTCAAACTAGGAATTATATAAAAGAATGTGAGAGGATCAGTACAAATCTATGTTCACTACAAGAAAAACAACTCAACTCACATACCCTGCTGATGAGGGGTCAGCAGAATAGGTTTCAACTAGGAAGGGCAGCATTATATAGCTAGAAATATAATTAGATTCTATGGAATAAAGATAAACACTTCTACTTTGCAGTTGAAAGCTTAAAACTAAATAGGCCTTTGAAATCATGAGGTTTGCTGCTCACCAAGGTGACATCAAGGTAACTGTATGACAGAATCATGGTATTCAGTGAAAGGGAACAGGAGACACACTGGAAATGATTTTCCTATGGGCAAGGAGTTAGCTGACTTTACGGACTACAGACATGGTGTTAAAGAAGTAAGTTTAAATCACAGGTGGCTTGATAAAGACTTAATGGTTACTAGGCATTTAAAGCTATAATGAATCTTGCTTTAGACAAATCCTACAGCTGTATGTTCCTAAGACAAGTGAAGTCATGTGATTTATAGACTTCTGTGTAATCTTGTAGTGAATTTCAAAGCTGTGGTCTCAAACTGCGGCAATTTGGTAGCAAACAGGCAAAACAGTCTGATAAAATCGAGGAAATATTAGGAAATACTACAAAACTGAAGTTTTTAAAAATTTTTCTTTGTCTTGTGATAAGATCTGAATATACATAGTTATATAAGAGATCCTATGAAGATATAAAAATCATATACTACATGACATATAAAAATCAATGTTAAGCATTTGGAAGTCTATCATTGTGAAATATCTGTAATATGTATTTGGATGGCTCATATAAATAAGGCACATGATAAACATATTTAAATGACATATCGATCCCTTTTTTTTGTTAGCATGTGTTTATATGTCACCATAGGTTAAGGATGCATTTGCTTATTTCATTTGGCCTCTCCTGATCTAAGTTTTCCCACATTAAGCTAGAAGGACCTCCAGATGGAGAGGAGATATCCTTAGCCAAGTCTAAACAGTGGGTTGATGAGGAAAAACAAGAGCTGGAACTAAGACCTGGACTGAGACTATATGGCAGGAACACAGTTGTCAGGCAAGACCCGAGGCTGGACAGTCAGAAAAGTAGAAGGGGAATGGTACTGTTAAGATCCCTAGGATATAGTGGCCTACATTCTGGTGGAGAGAATGAGGTAATAAATAAAGCAAATTGGTCAATCATATACTACAGTATAGCTTAAAAAAATAGAGCCAGATAAGAGGAATCTGTTATATCTGGTGTAAGAGGATTAGAAGCTAAATAGAATGATGAACTTTCCAATGAATTATGGTTCTTGGTAGTGGTCCGGCTTCTCCCTAATGTATGAAAGAATAGTTGTGTCTCTCTGTAGTGGTCAGTCCTGTGTTCTTAGGATCAATGAAACAACTTCTATGGCCCTGGATTAAAGCGTAATTTCTAAATCGCCTAAGGATCCACCCACTTCCCAATACTGGATGCGACAGAAGGAACCCTAGAGACGAACTGTCTTATTTTGGCTACTTTTGAGAAATGGATGTTGGTATATATAATATATTTGACCCTGGGTGAGAGAGAGGGCAAATGGTGGAATTGAGATTTTACACTTTCATAACTTCAGACTTAGTGGCTTCTTCCTATAATATGTAAGAAGATAAAAGAATATCATACTATATTTTCAAGCAGTATTGCTCTAAAAAGATACCCACCTTTCCTCCATCAGCATTATACTCCTTTTCATCTCCTTCTAAGAGTCTGGCTAGTCCAAAATCTGTGATTTTCACATGGTTTGGAGATTTCACTAAGACATTTCGGGCTGCCAAATCCCGATGAACAAGCCGTCTTTCTTCCAAGTACATCATTCCCTGAAAAACACCAAGTTCCAAAAAGATAGTCAGTTAATGCCTAGGCTTTGCTATTTGTCTAAAAAGCAGTTTCTTAGCCTTCAGTTGCAAGTGCTTGATGTCTCTAAGTGAAGCCAGGATCCTGGAATATTTCCAAAATTAGGAAAAACCTGGGATAAAAAAGCAAACCACAAATAACTTTTAGCCTTTATCCCCTAAAGTCCTATAAAAAATGAATTACCTGTACATGAGCTAAATGTTAGATCATTTTTTTTTTCCTCAGGGACTTTATAATCTTTTGTAAACACTTTCACTAGTGAGGTGTAAGTGTCTCTCAGTAGATAAGCTAACACACACTTGGACTGACCCACATTATTTCTAGTAGTTTTCTTCTCAATAACTCCTGCTTCATACCATCCTCCCCATACACACCTGCTCCAAAGACACCCATCCATAATTTTTTTAAAAAAATATTTCGTATGAAGGTTTAATGGTGCCAAAATCATCATCATAGATTCTATCAAGGCTGAAGAATTATATTATTCTTATTAACTATGCAAAAAAATGAACTATACCTTAGAGGCATTAAAAGCCTATAATTTTTTTAGATGGCTTCAATGACATTAGTAGTCATTATAAGAACCCACAAGTGAAATTACATTGTTTATAATGACCCTGAAATTAGCCTTTAATATGTTTTCTTCATTAAATATATAGGGTAATTAAAAATAAAATGTATTACTGATTGCCAACAATTATATATATATCCACATATATCCATATAAGTTCATATCTATTCATAGGTATATATCCATAATCCACAGAAGCAATAAATATTAATTGTACTTTACACCAGTAGGGAAACTAAGAGTCATTAAACATTAGCCTTAACTAAAGGTTGATGTAAAAATCAAGGAAGTAAACTCAGAGGCCTAGATTAGAGTGAACATATTCTTATTGAAGTGTTAGAGAAATTCTGTATTTGAGGATTTCAGAGGAAAAAAACTTGTCATTCAAAACCAAATCAGAATTATTAGAAAATGGTTAAAGCATACTCTGATGCCAATTGCAAATCAAAGCTGTTGGTAGTTAACATTGCAACTGCAGGACTTTGAAGGATTAACAGTTGCTGATATCAAAACAAAAGCTGTGGAAAACAGACACATAAATCACACAGGTAGAAAAAAGAAAAAAAAAATGAACTGTATACCCAGTGTAGTGTAAAGAGAAGATTGCTTCAAACAGCATCATGGGCCAAACCCTATACTATAAATGCCCATTAAACACAACCAGTGGAGATACTGCCTAATACAGTCCAACTGTGTCAGTAGTAGGGTAACACCATTTGTATTAGTGTTTTCTAAAATCAGCCCACAACTGAGATTTCTAGGGATTGGTCCTCTTTCCCAAACAGTGCTTTCTGTTTGAGTATGCCAACTTGGAAATTCACTAGAATAAAGTGAATCTAAAAATGCATAGCCTTTATATGATTTAAGGGATCAAAAAACAGACTTATTGCCTTGGAGATAAAGTTTTTTCAATTATTTGCCCCTTTAAGAAATGTCCACAAAAACATTCATCTTTCCTTTCTTACCACCCTCATATCAGAATATGCAAGGTGTGTTGGCAACGAGTTAATATTCAGATCCACACATGATGACAGAACACACACTATGTTTCAGGCACTGTGCTAGACATCAGGGAAATAAAAGAGTCAGAGAAGATCTGTTCACTGAAGGAGGACAGAGCTATTACTGAAGTGGACAGACATGGAATATGGACTTGAGTGAATTGGTATGATACACACAAAGGCATTTAAGGAGAGTTGTGTTTTGAGGATCATCTCTAGTAGAGCCTAGCAAGTGTGCATGAGACGGGAGCCTTCAGAGAGATCCTGAGGCCTAAGTAAGGTTTGAAAGATGTCTATCAGTTGGGCAAGGTGGGGGGAAATTGCAGTTAGAGAGAACACACACAGGGGCATTAATACCATGGTGTACTTGAACAAAGGTATGTGATTCGGTATTTCTGAGTCATTATGTATAAAGGCAGGAGAGAGACGAGTGGTGAGGCTGACAAAGTAAGAAGAGGCTCATTTCAACAAGGGCGTCTTATGTGTTGTGGTAAAGACTCTGAGCTTTGCATCTTACGCAGTATTTGATATGGTGATGCAGAAGTTGTTTTAAAAAGGAAAGCAACCCAATTATCATTGGAGTCTTGAAAAATATCACCTGGTATACAGACAAAGGATTGGACACAAATACAGCTGAAGTTGGGGGCCACTGCTACAATAGAAAAGAAAAGTGATGAGATGGAAAATGATAAAGGTTGTAAACTGGCAGTCCATGAGCTACATCCATTTTATATACATATTTTTTGACCCCCACACTGGACAACTTTCAAACATCCTCTTTAGCTGATGACTGGCTGTACACCACTGAGGGCACCTTCAGCTTGCCAAGACCCCACCACTCACTATTACTACCTACGAGTTCATTTATGATGCTTATCTAGCTCCCATGCATGAGTGTCTGAATCTTCCAACTAAACTAGGCCAGAAGAAATTCCAGCAAGAGGACAATTCCAAGATACACTTGTACAATAAAATAACCACCCTTGGTAATGGAATAATGAAGAGGAGAGTAAATTACGAATGATTCTGTTTTCTGACTTTTGTAACTTAGGTGTATAATAATAATTCCTTTAACTAAATATTATCCTAATGCAAATAATAGTGATATATACTATACCAGTAGAGAACTAATATTCACCAAGAAACTTAAGACCCTACTGACACATTCTATGTTATGAGCAGAACTACAAAAACTCCAAATGTTCTCTGATATTCTATACACAAAGCCTTAGCAGGTGATAGACTACCCTGAACGTCAATTCCATTTGTCTATAAAAAATGTTTTTTTCAGAATAATGAGAACTCAATTCAGGAAACCAGATGATAATTTCTATATAGTTTCCTCCATCCACCTGAACATGATTAAAAGAAATAAAAACAGAAGCATCTGTATTATTACCAAATCATCAAAATACATTTGTATGGTTGCTTTGCAACTATGAAACATCATTGTACAGATGCTTTTAAATCATTAATTATGACTGCTACCTTAGTCCTACTTTCACACCTAAATTAGTGTTGAATCGTCTATGGATTGCTCACAACAGGTTTCTCCACATCACAGTCATTAAGATAGGATTTTTTTACTAGAAGATCTCATTAGAGTCACATTCTCTGCTAGGTTCCTTCACAATAAAATCATTCCTTAAATCAGAGTGTGATGCAATGAAGGAGGCAGTTATTAGAAATAACAGTGACAAACTGGATAATGTCCCGTGAAGTCTGAAGATGATTAAAAAGAAGGGCCCTTCATTATGATAGATGGGTGCTGCATTGATTGAAAAGAAACTTACTCTGCCTTGTAGCAACTGCCATGTCTTTGCCATGCCATCTCGGGTGGAGTACATTATAGGAATATTAACACAGACAATAACCACAGCTAACATTGAGGACTCAGAACATGGCAGGCGTTAAACTAAACACTTCTACATCGGTAGGTTAACTTAATCCTATGAGATGCATACTGTTTTCATCCCATATTAAATATGAGAAAACCAAGTCTCAGAGAGGTCGTTACTTGCTCCAAGTTATCTAATGAGTGATAGAACTGGGATCTGGTCCCTTGCTGTGGGGCTCTAAAGTCTGCACATTTAAGCCTACCCCTTCTCTTCCTAGGTCATGGGGTTGTGTGGGCATGTAGAAATTAATGTGCACAATGAAGTCACATTGTTTTAAAAGATCCTAGTTCTTCTGGAGCAAACATATTATAAGATGTTTCTGTGAATTTCAGGGCATGATGCAAGTGACAGACTTGTTTGTATTTATATTTAAAATTAAGCTAAATTATAGAAACTTTTCTGATTTGGCAGGAATTGGAATTACATAACTTAGAAACTTGATTCTTACTTTGGCCCCAGGATATGCAGGATGGTGGAGTTGGTTTGAGTGTAGACTCTGGGGTCAGTCACCTGGATCGAACCCCAGCTCTGCCATGTTCTAGCTGTGAGACTCTGGCAAGTTAATTAACCTGGCACTCACCTTTGTCTCTAAAATGGCCATAAAACACCTATACCACAGATTGTTGTAAAGATAAAATGCGTTAATATATGTAAAGCACTCAAATAGTGACTGCCATTTGGTAAGTGCAGAACATGCAAGGTTTCATTATTTTTCCACAGATATCAACAGTCCTAGCATGAACAAGAATAACTTACCCTCATTAACTTGAATTGCTTATTTCAGAAAATCTGTGAACCTCAACTAATATATCACAGTAGGTGTTCAATAAATGTTTACAAATGGTGATACATATACCCATAACCAATCCATCATGATTAATGTGTAGGTGCAAATTCCAAATAGTTACTGTTCAAAGTATTATTTTAGTAATGATTCACCTGAGGATGCTGTCATATAAAAAGAAGGAAAAATTAGGGAATCTATTAAAAGATTTGATGCCCTCCATAAATACATCACAGATTCGGGATTTCAGTGAGGATAAAGGTTATGAATACTGGTCTTTAGGTTGAAAGTTTTCAGTGCTGCAGAAAGGGTGAATAAAATAGTAGGTTTGCTGTACCAAAATAGCTACCTTTTATCAGCACTGAGAGGAGTTTTTTGGAGACATGTGTTAGGAGTATTTTGTCTACTTCTAGACCCAAGTGCTGTAAATCTGATTTTACTCAAACTATTCAGAATTTACTGTTAGCCAAACCATTCAGTATTTTACCATTTTCCATACTTGCTCTATATGCTGTAATGAGTTTTCCCAAAGAGAACTTATTTTCTGTTTTGCTTATACCTCTTAAAAGTTGCTTTAATAAATACAAACTAGCTAAGGAAAGTCAAACCTTACCCTGACGTTCAGAAATGCACTTTAATACCAAATCCAAGGATAATTTTATTACAATTGAGTTTAAAGTTTTAATCTCTGGTTAAAATCGACTCATCT